CTAATGAGCAGAGTTGCGGGTCTAGCCTTAAACGGCGAACATTAGCAAGCAACTGCATGCTCTTATGAAGAGGCTGTATTCGCATGTATAATGATTGTATACTCCAATAGATAGATATATACTTTATTGATCCCGTGAGGGAAATTGCAGTGCAACAGCAGCTTAGCATAGTCAACACAGCACAGTGTAACGAAATTATACAATAATACAACAATACAATACATACATTACAGTCAGTACAGTCAGTGAGAAGTGCACTAAGAAGAGTTGCTCACAGTCCAGAATATACAGAGAACAAACCAGAACAGTACACAAAAAGTTGTATTGCACATTATAAATATAAATATATTGCACAAAAAAAACAGTTGTAGACAGGAAAATCCAGATGTAAGCAGAGAGCTTACTGCTTAGTCCAAAAACAGGTCAATGTCAATGTTGCCCCTGTCCAAACACAAAGTGGATGAGTTGTACAGTCTTACAATACAATGACATTAAAGAAACACGAAAAGTGAACATAGAGCAACAGCAGCAACAACAACACAGTTAAATTACACTCAACTTAAATAAAACTAATCTCAAGCAGTGTGCAAAAAAACATCAGTGTGAGTCAGTGGTAGAGGTATAGTAGTCAGTAATTTCCCAGCTTGTAGGAAGAGGCTGTCTCTGAATCTGGAGGTATACAGTATGCTTTACTGCTCCTATAATGGTTATCAGAGGGCAGGAGAGAGAAAAGTGAGAAAACCAGGATGATTGTTATGGTTGGCAAATCTCCTAACTTTCCCAAGACAGTGGGTTGTAAAAATGTCCAGAACGATGGGGAGCTGTATTCCTGAATGGACTGGGCTGATCTGATCACCCCCTGTTATGCCTTTTGGTCAGACATTGAGGTGTTGCCAAATCAGACAAATAATGGGGGGTGGGCCACCTGAGTGCAGGGCCTGTGAAGGGTGAGGGGCAGTTTGATAGTGTTACAGCTTTAGGTGACTGAGAGGTGTGTTAGATTTTAAATATAGTTTGTGACACTGGTAAGAGTAAACACTTCAAACTTCAAAGGAGAGAGGATGTTTGCTGAGGACTGGGGGTCCTGTGAGCAGAAACTATAGTAACGTTTATCTTGGTATACCTAGGCAAGTTGTAGATGAATGATTGCAAAAGAGCAGGGCAGAAAGACACAGTATAAGTTCACCTTAAGAGCAGAGGGAGAGAGGAGCAGGAGAAGCAGGTGGAAGAAGCAGGGAGAAGCAGAGAGAAGAGAGGGCAGTCCAGAGGAGTTGGGACTTGAAGCTTGTGCCAGGCGAGAGCTCCTGCATCTTGATCATCCAAGTCAAACCTGACTAGAGCTAAGTATTCGAACCTTGTTAGAGAGAGCTTGCTTTTCTGTGTTTTTAGGGAACTTAGGTTTCCTGGTACCTTAGTTAGAAACATCTTTCCTTATTAGGGCGCATTTTATGGATGGAGATATAGGCTCCCCATTTATTCTGTGGCATCCAGGGTGCAGAGAGAGAGATTTAACTGTAGGTTACTTTTTATTTAGTTAGAAGGCAGCTCATCTCTTGTGTGGCCTCTGCCTGCAAATTAAGAGTTTAGTGCTTGGTAGCAGTCTGGGGTTTTCTGGGTGACCAGAATGTTAGGCCTCTGAAGCGCCTCGTCTGTAAATACTGTAAGTTTGACTGCGCACTTCCTCCCACAGTACAATCTGTTGAGACCACTTCTAAGCTTTTTCCAAAAATGAAGCAGTCCACCATCAGAAAGTCCAGAAAGGCCTCAGTTTATTTAAATAATAGTAACAGCAACAATAAAAAATAACAACAGAGAGCAGACAATTGACTCTCAACAGAGCCACCTTCCTCTTTCAGCCCCCAACTGAAGACTGGCTCGCAGAGCTTATTCTCTGCGTTTTATTACATTATCCTCTTTTAAATACCTACAGCACTACCAGTCACATTCACCTCAATAAAAACACCAACCAGCTTCCCTCCTGTCCACAAAAGGGCACAATGGAACACATGCCAGTGGTCTTTCCGGTAATTGGTTCCCAGGTTTTAAATCCGGCCCTGCCTCTGAACGTGGTTTTGACTGTTAAACTAAAGTGAGGTGAAATGGCTGCAGCCAACAAACAACGAACACACCACCCACAAAAAGGTAAGAATTATATTTACTTCAAACGTATAGTGTATGGGACCAGGCCCATCACAATAAGTAACATGTTTTGTTGTGTGTTGTGTCATTGTTTTAAAATATCTGTCCAGACCCATTTGTAACAATGTAATGTAACGGTGTGTTGTATGTTTTGTGTCTTGTGTAGTTTATTGTTATAAATATTTGTTTTAGCCAAGTGTGCCTGGATTATTACTCCTCTCAACAAAGCTGTGCCATAGAATAAAGAATTCATGTGCCTCTAATTATACCAGTCGCTGGGCTATAGAAATCACTTACAAGTCGGGGGTTATGAATAATTATTTCACAGTTTCGTAACCACCTATTTGTAACAATAGCCTAAGGTTGTTCCTGAAAACTTTGTGGACCAAAGCTGCATTACATTGCTTGCATGATTTCTACTAGCCTCTTTAAATGCAGAAATCAAACTGAAAGTACGGCTTCACTGACTGTAAAGAAAATAAATGGAAACAGGAAAATACAGCAAAAGAGGCCACAAATGCAAGATGGCTGTATGCACCATGGGTCATAGTGGTGCCTGCAAATCATCTTAGTGACGATGATGATGCGAAGTTACCCCACAGCCAGAGCAGTCAAAGGCTGCTGCACCCCAAGATGAAGCTATTGCTAAAGTTACTTCCCAACCAGAGGAGGTAACAGAGAAGACTCCTGAGCCATCACCATCTACTAGTACACCAGATACTGGTGAAGAAGATCCATGAAAGGACAACTCATTAGATCCCCCTTGCTTATTAGAAAGCATTGCAAATTATTTTGATCCTTTATTATAGCCAGATCCAATGACAAAGAGCATAGGAGCTGTCATTGTGCAACAGACACCTAAGCAGCTCACTTTTGAACTTCCATTAACTGACAGTCGTCGTTTTACATCTGCAAATTATGAACGCAAGATGAGCTCCCAGCAAATATCTAGACCATGACTTGTCTACTCCACATGAAGCAACGCAGGGTTTTGTTTCTGTTGCAAGCCTTTTGGAACTGAAAGAGACCTTTACACAAAGGTTTTGAAAACTGGCAAATGTTATGCACAAGATGGAGTGCACGTCTGCCCATGTGCAAAATTTAGGCAAGGGGAAAACACTCCAAATAGGCTTCTCAACAACAGTGCAATTGATCGTCATATTCTAAATGCGAAATCAATGGAATGTGGTGGTTTGCAGAATGTTGGATTGTATTTTCTATGTGGCCTGTTGACAGGTTTGTGGAAGTGTGAATACATTGTATGAAGGCAATTTTCTAAAGCTGATCAAACATTTAGTCAAATATGACCCAGTTATTGCAACACATTTAAGTCTTGCGCACAATGGCACTATCCCAGCAAAGACAGCCAGAATGAATTGATCACTCTATTAGCTGGCTGTGTTATAAAGAGAATTACAAAAATTGTGCAAAACTGCCTGGTATTACAGTGTGTTGATAAACTGTAATCCACATATATCTCACAAACTGCAGCTGTCAAGAATTATCAGATATATTTCCACCAAAGTAAAGAAAATAGAGGTCTGCAAAAGTTTTCTTTAGTTTATTCAGATCAAAATCACTACAGGGGAAGGACTTAAGTGCTACTGGATCAACTTTCAGGACATAACATAGATAACTAACAAGTGTTGAAATGTTCAATTATTTGCAAAAACTGTTAACTGTGAAAGCAAGGTAACACAAAAAAGTTTTCCTTAGTTTTTAAGGTACAAATAATATTTAAAATAACATTTCAAATAGCTTATATGACTTGCATGTTAAGGCTTTTAATGTATCAGAATTAGAATGGTTATCACTTTCATTTGATGTTTATGTTCCAAAGAGCTGTGTTTTTTTGTGTGGCTATT